TATATATATATATCGCCAGCTACGTGCCATCCTTCTCTATCTCCACACCTCCACATTCCCACTAATTGCGGCAATCGTTGTCACAGCTGTCATGTGTCAAGGCTACTGAAAAACCCTCCCTGTGAATGCAACATCACTGCATATAAGGCCGCTGTTTTGAACTCTTTCATTTTGTACCAGCTCCCGTTTTGAGGGCGGTAATGCAGTTTTTACACATAGAGATTTACGTCAAAACTACGAAAACGAAGTAAGGACTTACTTTGCTCGCCATTTTGTAAGCAAAACCAAATAATTCTCAAGGACATCGTTGGTAGCTCAGTGGGTTTCTTGTTTGTTTGTTTGTTTGTTTGTTTGTTTGTTTGTTTGTTTGTTTGTTTGTTTGTTTGTTTGTTTGTTTGTTTGTTTGTTGTTTTGGTTCAGTTTTGTCCTATTCGAGACGAGCTATAAAATCGTGGGTCATGCCTTTAAATAAGATTACACGAGTGTTTATGGTGTAGAAGTTAGACACTTTACCGTCGCAAGCAGATGGCATAGGGTCCAGTTACAAGTGGAAACGCTTTTTTTTAAACATACTATCCCTGTCTGGCAGATGTAAAAAGAAGAACCGCCAAGGCAAGGTCAGCCTTCAATCAATCATCAAAAGTCTGAAAAGCAACCAACATCTCACTGCGCACCAAGATTCGACTCTTTAACTCCAATGTCAAGTATGTGCTCTTCTACGGCTGCAAAACTTGGTAGACAACAAAGACGGTACTGAATAAACTCCAGACTTTCATCAACAGAAGTATGAGGAGTATCCTAAGAATTACGTGACAGGATATAATAAGAAATGAAGAGCTGTGGGAAATGACAGTACAAAATATATAGAAGTAGAAATAGGACTAAGTAGCGACGGATGGGACACACCTTCAGACACCCTAGCAGAAACATCACAAGACAGTCGCTGCAATAGAACCCACAGGGAGCACAAGACAGGAGTAGGCCACGAGGAAACGTGGAAGAGATGCGTGGAAAGGGACATGATAGAAAATGAAGCTCACCTGGAATGAAGTTGGAAGGATGGCCCTGGACAGAGATAAAAGGAAGGAGCTTGTATGTGGCCTATACCCTGCCAGGGGTGAAAGGCATTGATGATGATGATTATGATGATGATCCACGTTTGTCTCCAGGGAAGTTGTATCCCTCTCAGCCCGGGGTGGCAGGATAAACAGCCTCATAGATTATCTTAATTGTATTGATGGGAGTGTAAAACATCCAGAATTAAAGGTCAAATACACAAAAATCTTCCATTATTGAAACGGTTGAAGGGCCTACAGCAACCCTCATACGGGAGGGGGGGGGGGCGCTCTTGTGGTCTAGAGGTTAAGGTATTCGCCTCACTTTCAAAAGGTCCCGGGTTCGATGCCTGACAGCGACGTAAAATTTTCTGTTCTAAAATTTTCTCCTTTCACCCCGTTTCCTGCTTTCTAACCATCTTCTTTAGTCTATTTTCATCTCCACTTTCTGCCACCACCCCCTCCGCCTTTGCCCCCTCCTCTGGGCTTCTGACTCTTTCTGCAGCCTTTCTACTACTACTCCATGGCTCCTTCTGACTGCTGTCTTTCAGCCACACCCCTGAAGTTAAAGTAGGTAAGATCTAACACTAGCCTTCTCGGAAAATGGCGAAAAATCTTGGAGGTACTGTGTGCAAATCGTGCGAGTTAAAGATCCTTTGTAGATTCAAAATCGATAAGAGTAGGCTTTGACGGCCACCCGAGTAAAATTCAAAAATAATTCCTACCAAACTGAAAATGTGCTATGTGTCCTGCGCGCTCATATTATGACCTTATGCAGTTGCGAGCGCCGTAAAACACTTACAATAAAAAGAAGAAACAAACTCTCCGACACGGCGCGCTCTCCCAGCTCAACAACAGGCTGCTAGCAATGGGTTAGCCAGGATTTTGCTCTTACTGTTTGTACATGCATTTTGTTTTGTCTTGGGTTGTTTGTTTTTTTTGTTTGTTTGTTTTTTTGCTCTTTAAAAAAATTGTATTGTGTCTTTCTTAATCTCATTTCGCTTTGTTCTTCATTATTGATGAAAGTTTAAACTCACTGACTACTGTTCTGAACTTCAAAAAGAGGGTTATCTTTTGGCTTGAACCCATTCCTGAACAAATGACGCCATCGGAATTGAGGGCAGAGGGGAGAGAGAGAGATATAAAAAGAAGGGCGAAAGAAAGGGAGAGAAGTGATAGAAATGAGAGAGAGGAGGAGAAATACATGGAGAAAAGAAGGTACCAAGGGAGAGAGAAAGGAAGGGATAGAGAAGGGAAAAGAAGGGAGAATGAGAGAGAGATAGGCGGAGGGGGAAGACAACAAGAAGGGGGAAAAGATGAGAGAGAAAAGGAGAAAGTAAATGTTAAAAGAAAGTCAAATACGAATGGCGAATAAGATAAAGGAGAAGAAATAAATGGAGAAGGACAGGACAAAAAGATATATTAAGTAGAAATATGACTAAGAAAGTAGCGATGGATGGGACACACCTTCAGAAAGCCCAGGGGAAACATCACAAGAGAGTCGCTGCAGTGGTTAGGCTCTCGGACTCGCAACCGTAAGGTCGTGGGTTCGAATCCCGTCAGGAGCCCGATGTTGTGTCCTTGAGAAAGGCACTTTGCATA